TATCAGCGGAAATCAAGTAAGATATAAAGCTGGTAAGAGTCAATTATGAACATGCATCATATAGTAACCATAGCAATACAATCCCTATTAGCTCCATACACACAGAAGACCAATCTTATTGTGCAATGTTCATGCTATAGCAAGAGATATTGACAATGAAACTTTAAAGCGAGCAAACCTTTAGCCCCTTTTCTTTAGTTCAAGATTCAAATGTTCTATTAGAGACATGCTGGAAAGGATTATCAACCTCCATGTTAACATGAACATGACTACTTTCAGAAGAAAAAAATGTTAGCATGAACATGACTATAGGTTTATTTTATATTTTTTGTTAACTCAAATTAAATTTGTGAAATTAATTTATGTTTAATTAACTACTAAATTAACTATTCATAACTGATAAATAAATTTATTTTATTTAATATATATCTTTTTAAAATTGAAATAAAATCTAATAAAAATTTAGCAAAATTATTTTAAAAAAGAACTGCAAATGCTTCCAATTTTCAGATTTTTTCTCTCTTCATTTTCTATGTTTGGGGCTACAGTGGAAGTTGAAAACGCCTAGAGTAAAATGTGCCCATTAATGTTTTTTTTTAAAAAAAAATTAAATAGTTAAAGGATAAAAGTGGGGGTGTTTGAGTAAAAGAATGTTTTTATCAGAAGAACAAATTTGTTCCACCAGTTTGTAGGAACAAACTTGTTCCATTTAATAGAATTATTGCACTATTCAGTCCACGTACTTTTTTGTCATCAAACATAGAATTATACTTTATCGTTCTGTCCTGTTTCACAATTTTTATGGCACCAAATGCTACCTACATGTTCTACCTCCTTTTGCTCTTCCACAAATCAAAAGCTTTCCCAACCTTTTCACCCAAAACTAACCCAGAGAAAGAGACAAAAGGATCAAGCCGGTGGAAAGAAGTTGAGATTTTGCATAAAAAAAGAAGCAAGCTGCTTGCGTCAAATTCTTTCTAAATCTTGTTACTAGCTCTTTGCTTCTTGGAAGTTTGCTCCCCTACTGAGAGTTGATTGCCAGGACATGGTCTCCCTCTAAGAATGGTGTAGCAAAGTCCATTTTACTTAAATCTTTTATCCCATTATCCTATAATCATGTTGCCTCCAGATTCCCTAGGAAGCAAACTACGAGAAAAGCTTCTTCCTTTATAGCTTTTTTTCTTGGAAAGCTTTCCCCATAAGAACTGTTAACATTGAAGAATTTGAGGGAAAGGAGAATAATTCTTCTTGATGGTTGCTAATGTTTCCTTCTGGAAATGAACCCCTAACCATCTCCGTCTTTAGGCTTGGGATGGACTACAAGCAGGAAAGCCTTTAAAAGTTCAGAAAGAAGCTCCCGTCCTAATTAACTTAGATATTATATCAATTATTTGGGAAAACTAAACAGAACCATTTTTTAGCTAATCTACTCTCCTTCTAATAGTAGTAGAGATGATATCAATAGTTTTAGACCATATTGTTTTACGTTGACCGTCTCTTTCAAGGAGAAGACTGGGGAAACCTCATTGAAACTCAATCCTCTTTCTGCTATCTAAATTTCTTTTGTATAGGGGAGGCATCTCTTGGTGCCTAGTATATAACATTCTTCTTCTTCACTCAAAAAATATATCTACTTTCTAACTCCAGCAAAGAAGAACTCAATAGAGAAAAATCTATCCTGAAATTTTATCTCTGTTTGTTTGGCTTGATATCATCAGCATGGGAAAGTTAAGATAAAGTAATGATCCAGGATAATGTAAATTCGCTCTGAACATCATAATCCTTAACAACTGTAACAAGTGTAAACAATGAACAAAGGCTGACCTTCTTATCTTTGATCTCGCTGGACTGTATCCATGTTTTGATCTGGTCTCTGTACCTCTGCAGCTTCTTGATCTCCTTCTTCAAGTCTGCCTCAAACTTCTCCTTTTGATTCGCATTATCTGTATCATAAACCTAAAACAGGAAAATCACGTAGAGAAGCACAAAAAATCAACTCAATCAATGCCACACGATTTGCTTTCTATAAAAATGTAGTACATAATTAAAAAAAAAATCCAATAACTGTTCCAATAAACAAAAAGAACAAAACTGAATATCACCCTTCTTTCACCACAAACACCTATTCCATCCTTTTGAAAATCAAAACAGAAAAGCCATAATCAAACACTTGTGAGGACATTTTCCTCTCCAACGCTTGATATCTAAAGAACTTGGCAAATCCAATTTTGAAGTCCTCGGAGCATTACACTTCATAACTTCCACCATTTCTCGGTAAACAGACTGAAGACAGTTAACCGAGCCCTAGCCTTACAGATAATTTTCATTTTCGTTCAAGTAATACTACATCCAATCCTATCATAACACTTGCAGTTAACTGCACATCAATCCTTTCCCCATTTTCATCGTTTTCTCGAGAACCAAGCAGGTAAGAGACATTAATGTGTAGATGCTGACCTTGTTCCAAATGCTGTCAAAGACATCGACGCCTTCCTGGACCTTCTTCAAGACTCGATCGATCTCGCCTTGTAGCTTGCGGCTTGCTCCCATTTTAACAACACAAAACAGAACAAGTGAAGCAGCAAATCAGAAGAAATTATCATCCAAAAGAAGAGAATCCAGTGGAGGAAAGGAGTTTTGTCTGGTTTTAGGGCTTGGATTGAGCGAGAGATAGAGAGAGAGAGACTGAAATGATTCGATCAGTAAACAGTTGTATTATCAGATTAGGAAGAAACAGACATGACTTCCAATTCCGGGCCGAAGCCCAATTATTTATACTCGTCACTTGGCGTGGGTTAATCTGTTTTAAACTTGTCTTTTTCCAATTACACAACTACGTTCATCTACTGTTTAATTAATCAATAAACTTTTTATAGAAATATTTTTTACTCAAATCATTTTTTTGTTAAATTTTAAAAATTAATTAGCACTAATAAATATTTTATATTACTAAATATGCTAATTAGATTTTAACATAAAAAAAAAATAGAAAATTATTTTAAGATTTAAAAAATTCACAATTTTTTAATTTTTTTTACCCATTAGCATTCGAGAAAACATTCATAACTTCAAGTTGATTAGTTCAAACGTCATCGTTTTACAATTCGTAAATCTCATCTTCAAGATATTAATATAGATCCTTTTTTTTTTTTTTTGTATGATTTATTCATAATTTAATTATTCAAAATTTAAATAAATTATACAAGAAAAATAATTGATTTTTTAAATAAAAAATAATTAATTGTTATAAACGAGGCTCAAGTGAAAAGTCCAACTCCTCCTCATATATAACAGAGAAAGAGGCGGCCCAGCCGAAGAAGAAAGAGAGAGAGAAGTTCCTGTTTTCGCGGGCGACTGAGGTTCTTTCTTTCCACCACCTTTCCCTCTCTGCACATGTCCAAGTTTATTGTACCTTATCGTCTTCATTGCTTGAAAGATAATTAGGTTTCGAGTTTTCAATGGCAGTGTTTCCCAAATTCATCTGTAGATTTTCACATTTACCTGCTTTGATAAGCTCGAGGTTTAAATCGTTAACTTAGTTCATGGTGTCCAGAATAGGGGTTACTTACTCTTTTTAATTTCATAACATTCTCTGTTTAGACACGAATAGGATCGGAAAGATTTACGCGTTAACTTCATGAAATAAGAAGTTTAGTTGGCACCCCAATTTACTTCTTGATAGTAACTAGTACAGTTGATAATTATAGTGTCGTAACTTCTCAATTAGAAGACCTCTTGCTTTGATTTTGGTTTGAATTCAAATTCTATGACATTATAGTTTCAATTTAACTTTTATATTTATAATTCAAAGTCAAATTAGGTACTTTTGCAGTTTCGATATTGACGTATGAGAATATAAATTTATGGTTGTGGAATTGAAGAAGTGATTAAGTTTATTCAATTATGAATAAAGTATGTAGATAATGACTAGCTTTTTATATCAAATAACTAAGATACATGAATTGAATATGAATATAATAGGTTTAAACTAAATGCAGTATTAGGGTTGGCAACTAATACGAATTCTGGAGACTGATCTATTATGCGGAGAGATGAAACTCATATCATTAAGAAGAATAATAGGATGTTTTTGTTCACTCTCAAACCTTAGGCCAACATAAGGCCCTAGGGTAATTTACTTTGGAAAATCAAGACACATTAAAATGATTTTTCACCTGTACATGATGTAGTGTGTTTCCTATACTCCCAGTGATTTTATTGAATTTCAAGTCTTTCTATGCTATGTTCGTTAATTCCCAATCACATTTTTCTTGAAACATCTGTCTTTTCCGTGGTTATGAATTCATCCATTCTTCAGCACATACCTATGGAAGCTTTCATAATGTGGTCGTGAGTCTCGATATTAAGAATCTAGCCATAGTTTGGTTTTCTTGCAGTTGAAAATGGTAATCACGTGTTCAATCATAGTTCATTAATTTTTTTCTTCATCTGAATTTGGTTGTAAGTTTAAGGAAGTACACTGGATAGGCTGATCTTAATCAACTGGTGTCTTACACTTCACTTCACAAAAAAAAAAAAAAATCAACTTGTGTTTTACACATTTCTTCTAGCGCACTTATTTTAAGTAATCGTGTTTTTAATTTGTTATTGCATTGTATTGTGCATATCTTTGAGTATCTTGTTCTGAAGGTTCTAAGGACTTATAACAAGGAAGAAGTCCAGTAGGAGAAGTCCAGTAGGAACTAAGGTCATTGACTTGAGCATTTTGCTTTCAGGAATGATCATCTTGCAAATAATTTTTTCAGCATGATTACATTTGTTTTCAGTAAGATAAGAATAGTGAATTCGATGTGTTTATGACTACTTTTTAAATTTTCTAGAGTTTTTTCTTTTGATACAATGGACATGTGCTATCAATATATTGTGCTCATATTTCATAACATGTTAATGATATATAAAATGGAATAGTAATCTATTAGAGATATCATGCTTAAGTAGTTGCAAACGCAATCTACTCTGTTGGTGCAACTTATTAAAGTAATCTGTTCCAGATTGAATGGATCCATTTTCGATGGCAGCATGGCTGGGATTAGGAAGTTTTTGGTGCTGACTTGATTGGCCCTTGATTCGAATTACACTGGAAGCTTCATCTCCTGAATTCCTCCCATTTTCCTTTTTCTATTTGTCTACCCACTCAGCTCCAGCTGAAACCATTTAAATCAAAATGTTTGCAGCTTGAGGCAGCATCATTTTCATCACGGGCATTTAAGTCCAGCTTTGTTGCAAGGTAAGGCAGTCCATATCCTTGTGAAAGCCGTTCATTATCTATTTTACCTGAGTCTGTCCTCCCATTGGTTTGGTCTCCAAAAATATTGTCGTCATTTCTTCCTCTAATCGTCCCTCAGAAAAGCTGTTGCTTCCACGCCCTTTTTCAACTTGAAGCCCAACACTCATGGATAAATCACTGGAGTGTCTTTCCACAAAACTATTTCTCCTTTCTGTATCCTTACCTATTGAAGAAAGAAACATTTTATTTTCTTTCACATCTCTTGACCACTTGAGCTCAGTCTGGTGCAGCATGGGCTCTTGCACTCTCTCTTTTTGCTCCAACAATGAATTACCATGATAGTGTCTCAATCCCAGTCCATTGTTGTGTATTTCTTGGTCCTTTTGAGATCCTTCACAAGAGGTCAGGCAACTGTCTATTGAACAATCCGCTGGCTGTGTTAGTTGTGTTTGCTGAGGGCACAAACCCTGTAGTTCTTTCAGCTCTGAGAATGCAGAATTGAGGCATTGAGTCGATACTTTGGACACCAGTTCTGAGAGTTGAACTTTGGCGGCTTCAAGCCCCACTGCGCCCAAGTTCTGTCTTCCCAAAGTCTCCTGAGCTTTCTCCAGCACTGCCTGAAGGTATTTTCCTTGAGCTTCTATACGAAGCTGTAAATGTCGCTGCACCTGTTTGATGGAAAAAAAAAATTGGGTAGAATGTAAATATATCCTTACTCAACTTGCAGACGTGAATGCAGAACAACTGAAGAAGTTGACAATAATAGATGTCTGTTTCTTGGTTCTAAAGTATTTATAAACATACTATACCTCAAGCTGCTCATGTAGCCTTCTCTGAACTTCAATTTGCATTTGTAGTGTTTCATTTATGTGTAAACTTCTGTATAAAAAGAAAAATTGGTTGTTAGTGCAATTTTGTATTATACAAATAAATTTATAGAACCAAAAATAGATATTGCATGAAAACCTTTGTGCTTACTTGTTTGTCTGGGGTCCAATGCTTAAATTGTTCATGTGAGTTCCATTTGCTTCTGGCATTTTTTCTCCTGCCATCACCACAGCACCTACAACAATTTCATGAAAATTTATTATTCACAATAAGTGCTTTCGAAGAAAACACAGTCAATAATTTGCATTGTTGCTTTGCATTCATAAATATTTGGAGAACTAAATGACCTTTTTTGCTTACCTAGTTTGTTGGTTCCACTATTTGTTTGTCCATGGAGGTTCTTGCTAAGTCTGTACTTCTGCTAGCCAAATGGAGGGAGTTAATATTAGCTATCGACATTAAACATCTTCAGAAAATCTTATGATTTATTAAAAACAAGTGGTATATGGTAAGCATATAGTTAAAAAGAGCATCTGGTATTGGCTAGTTACCTGAAGGTGACTCTTGAGGTGGTACAAGGTAAGTCCTGGAATTCCCATGAGTTTCATTACTGTCTTAGGCGTGGCCTCTGCAACAGAATAAAAGTAAATTAAACTACATCTAGTTATTTGAAGGTAAGTTCTTTTTTCACATTTCTTCAGTTTTTTCTAAGCACTTACTGTCTGCTCCTCCAAGCTGATTAACTGCCTCTATGAACCGCTCATGAAGATCTGGCGTCCATTTTAGCCTTGGCTTAGCATCAGTTGACAGGACAAGTCCAGAATCTCCTGGGCCATTCCCACCTTGAAGAAACAAATGCCTTTCAGGGGGGATGGGCATTCTTGAAGACAAGTGCATGTTTTTTCCTGGATGCTGGTGGTGATGATACATCTTCTATGATCAAAGAACCAGTGTAAGTCTTGCCTGACGTAAAAGTACAAACGACCAAGTTGTTGTCGTAAGGACTGGCTTTGTTTCCTTTACCTGATAAGTTGTTGTTCAGTTGTCAAAACCCGCTGCCTTGAAATTTTGAACTTGACTATGCTATATTCTTCAAGTACAATTTCCACACCCTGATTGAACTTTCTGCTGCTTCTGCTCTTAGTTCTCTCCTTTCTCCTCTGGCCAGTTCTCACAAACAAAGTTGCCCTCTAGCATGGCTTTATAAAGAAAATGGGGTGGGCGACAAGCTGTGAAGGTATAGAATCTTGGACAGAGCCGAAGGAACACCTGACCCAATCCAATATTCATAGAGACTCGAAAAGAGACAATGTCCCCACTACTTTTTTAATTGTGGGGCCTGTACTCATGCTAGACTTTCCATTCTCAGTCTATGCTATCCATTTGAATTTGTCTTAACTCCATCTTTCCGAAACACCTCACGCTTGCATTGGGTATCAGAATTAATCCACAATAAAGTATTTTGTGTGTGCATTCGTATTCGTCCTTCTGGCAAAGGAAGGAATCTTATTCCCAGATTTTATAGAAGAATTTTCAGACTTGGATGTGGGGAATCCACTGTCGCTTTTGTTTTGAGACCTTCAAAGCCCAACCTCTCGACCTCCCACCCTTTCGCCCTCATAGAGATTCTTGAAATCTTACATCTTTATCCTTCACCTTGTTTCTGGAGTCATTTTTTTGGGTTGTTGATGTACATATTTCAAGCTAATGATTTTGTAAATAAGGTTTAGCTGTGTTAAGGGTGAGGATAAGGACGCAACAGGAGTGTTTTAGGTGGTTAGTTTTGGAGAATTTAGAAGAAGATTCTTTTGACTAGAGCACTAGAAAATTTTGGAATTAGATACAAGAAAATAAAAATTAAAATGGTGTGCAGATGCTTTGCCTTGTAGATTGTTTTGAGGCAAGGAATGGAATGAGGAATACATTCTGTTTTGTCTCCTTCAGTAAGTTTGGTACTTATTCAGTCCATACAGTATGAAATAGGAGTAGAAGGGGCCCCAGTTTTTTCGATTCTTCAACTGGCACAAGACAGCAGGGCCCACCAGAGGGAATCATAAGTTCCTGGGACCTGACGAGAAGAAAAAAATGTACTTCCTTCCATACTTTCATTCGGTGGAAGGGATGACAGACCTGGCCTTGAGAGGTTCACTTACTCTTGACTAATGCCTTCTATGCTTTGCAGATTCTTTTTATGAATATATATACTCTTCTTGCTCTATTGATCACCTTTTTTCAATGAATGCCCACATTAGAAAAGGGTTTTTAAACATCTCTATATTGATACAAATATTTCCCTGAATGAATGAACAAGTAAATTCATGCATATGATTCTTTGTGATTTTGCATAAATCTACTTGTGTTATTTGAAATTAATATTATACTCGAATGCAGAGAAACACTTGTTTATTTTAATTTTTGGGAGAAGAATGCTGTCATTAACTTCTGCATATAAAAAATGTGTAACCAACAGTATTTGCCCCTGCAATTCTGTCTCTATGTTGAATAATTTAGGCACATATACATTGGCATGCGTTCAGACTCTGAAAATATGCATGTCGTTAGAAATTTTATGAAAAAGGCTATCCATGCATGGCACATGCTGATCAAAGGTTAGGGTTACTTAATTTGTATTTTTATTTGCTTGTCTGGATCTACATTCTCCAAGCTCTGCATGTGTCAACTGCAAGTTCATTATGCTTATGCTGTTCCATTGCATTTTGGTTGAAGGATATTATTGTGGTGATAACCAGGAATTATACTATACCTATTTAAAATACAAAGAATAATATATCTCCATGCTCAACAGCTAATGCAGAATAAATTCGTATATTAAATTACCAAGACCGTTTCCGCCAAATCATAAAACCTACATGATAGGGAAATAAAACTTAATGACAAATGAGGACATATCTGATATGCAGATACGCATTAAAAGACGGCTTGATAGATTTCTAAAACTAGCACTGCCAAGCCACATAGGAATTATAAGAGCTTGTTTCAAGGAAAAGAAAAAAAAAAGTTAATAGGCAAAATTCCTGTTCCTTGAACAATATCTTCACATTATTTCCGATTGGCCTTTTAGCAAAGATCAATTGATTCTGATTTGTCAGGATACTTTATTCAGTTTGGGAGAATCTAAACCTTTAGATAAAGTGTTAAAGCACAATTCTGAAATAGTTTTCTGGCATGTGGATGGGAATAAATTGCACAAGAGGCCTGATAGGGTACCCTGCAAGTTAAAATATTAGATTGCTTCTGGCATCGGTGAATGTCTGATGAACTGTGCATCTTATAAATCTACCAAATATGATTGATTGTGCAAGATTGTTGCATAGTTAATGTGCCACATTCTGAAGTTGGTGGCATGATGCTTAGCTTAGTCTTATTTTGCTTGTGAATCTTTCTCACATTCTAATTGTCACGAACACAATCTGAGGCCATCCTGGAGGCAAAAAAATTATATGTAAATCCTGCTAATCTGATATTCTTCTGTCCTAACAGAGTAAGGACCTCATATGGACAAACAACTACAGGAAACATGTTTGTGTGACTTGTTAAATACCACGTTATATGCATGAAAGTTTTTCAATCAAGAAACAGGTATAGAGCCATCGTTCGTTACTGGGTTGTTCTTGTTTAGAAAAATAAGTGACTAATTGATGCTTAGAACTGCTTATGCCCAACCATAAATAGGACTAAATAAGAGCTTTCATTTCATGTCTCACAAGGACCCAATTATCAGGCTAATAATGGTGGTACATGTAAAGTACTTGGCTTTTCCTTGATGTTTGTCAAAATTAATACCCTTTGTTATAATCTTCTCTCTTCTCTTCTGGTTTTATTCTTGTGTATGTAGATCTACAGTACAAGGGAATACTTTACTTTTGTGCTGTTATCTAACTGCTATTGCTTTCCTTTCTCTATATTGGATGTTATATTCTCCACTTTAAAGCCAGAGGACATGGATTTGTGTTCTTCCTTGTACTTGCAATTTCCTTTTCTGGATTCTACATTAATATAATTTTACCCTTTTAGGACTCGAAGAAGCTCTCAAAGCAGAAAAATGCAGGCACATAGCCACATAAGAATCATCTTAAGCAAGTATGGTCAATCATAAGCGACACACATGTTGCAAGCTGATTGGTTGTGGTTTCTTGACTGCACGTGACGGCATTGGGCGAAACGAAAAGTGAGAAATGACCACGGAATGCTATTCCCTTGTAGAGAAAAGTTGATCAGCAAGCAAGAGAGAAGGGGGGGGAAAAAAAAAAGAGAAATTGTTTTTAAAGATTCTGGAGAATGAGAATGTGAGAATTTTAACTCAAAGCAAAGCCATTGAATCATATTCTCAAGTCAAGAATCTGGTTATTCCTCTCTACCCAAAGCCACAAAAAATGGGTTCCCCTCCTTCCTCCCTCCCCCTCCCCTTTTTCTCTTTAGCTGTTTTTTCTTTAGATGCCTCTCAACATCCATGATTAATGTGCAGTGTCCTCATAAGTTGGGCCACTTTATATATATATATATATATATATATGTAATATATGAAATGAGAATACTGCCTTGTCTTGATTTTTGCTTAGGTTTTTCTTACATATATACCCTCTTCACATGATTCTTTTAACTCATTGGTTGGAACTTACATCTGGTCCTCTCCCATTCTCAATTCTTAACCTCTACATTTTCTTTTCTTTTAACATATTAATCTCTTTATAAATACCTCACGTTATTATCCTTAGGGTTGGTTATTTATTTCAAATATATTAAAAAGACAGAAAT